TTTCTTTAAGACATGATATGCTTGGTGATGCATATTATACTGGGGCACCTAGCCAATCGGTTGAAGAAGGTATGTCATCCAAAGACAATGTCCAAGATAGGCTCAATCCAGAGACTACTGTGTTCACATCAGATCTGAAAGAGAATTCTCTCGCACACTCGAGCATCAAGACTACAGAAAGTCATCGGAATCAGCAAGTCCATACAGAGTCAAGTCTCCTCAACAGTGGCAATCATTGGTTTCTTTACTGCATTTTCATTTGCATTCTTGCTTTTTTGTTTAAACATTGCTTGTATATAGAAACTGGTCTATTTTTGAACGAAAATCTTAATGCAATAAGTATGCTTGTCTTGAAGTGTTCCTTTCATTTTTACTCATCCATTTGTTATCACTCTTTAAATGTTTTGCTTGCATATTGATGCCAGATTTCCTAGTCTTATGCTTAGGTAAAGATTCAAAGGAGGATGATGATAATCTGAAAACGCAAAATCTCTGGTTGGTATGCTTTTGAGTAGGACCCTGCTGACGATGTACAGGCCTTGTTTCAATCCCCAAACACCGGAGATATAAGGGAGATAGACCCTCGTCAACCCCTCTGAGCCTTCGAAGTAGGAGTTTCCTTTCTGTTCAGAAAAAACCCTCATTTCAACCCTGGGGCGGGTAGTGTTCAGCTAATCTGATCAAGCATTCATAACTCATCAAGAGTGTGCATCCAAGGATACAACAATGGTTATCCATCAAAAGGTTGAAAAAAGTCAAAACCACAATGGTTAACCCTTATCTAACAACAATGTACGTCTATTGACTATACCCCAATGGGTATCTCTCACACATCATGAGGTCGACAGATGACAATACGATAATGGCTATCCATCACCTACTAAAGACTCAGGCAGTCACGATCACTTCCAACAAATCAAAAGCAACGCAAAGATCAACAACTTGTTCAAAATGGAAAATATGAATAAGAAAGAAACAAAAATCCCCGCTAAGTCAAAGCTTGAAAACAAGACGCTTAGGCAAAAATTGGGGCATCCCGCTGGACTTCCAAATCAAAATTCAAAAGAATTTGTCCAGGAAAAAATTAGGGAAAGCAAGAAGAAATTGAAAAGCCTAAAAGGCGAGAAAAGGATTACCAACGAAAATCCTCATCAAAGAACAAAGTCGTCTGATCAGACACCAAAATCAGAAGTTAGTGACTGTCGGGTCCAAGAAACCTCAGTGGTTCCTCAATCATCACAAACTCTTCTCGAGAGACGAATACTTGTATCGGGTCAACTGAACGTAGGAATGGAGAACATCATGGAGAATGGGTGGGCACCAAATAATTTTGAGCCTTAAATCCTTTTTTCTAAAAAAACCGTGAACCAGGCCACGTTACAACCCATAAAAGTCCTAACTGAAGCATGGGTCAATTCGAAAGCGTGCTACAACGAGATAGCGTTTAACTGACTCCTAAGAGGTACGTCCAATATCTGTGTTGGCATCATATGCTTGCATTATCTTTCATAAAGGGAATTTGCAAATGTTTCTCTCTAGCTAGTGACTCGTTCACAACAGAGTTGTGACATTATTTCATTCAAAGTTTTTTCAAACTTCAAGACTTACATATGTGTTGTATTAGAATTATCATTCTCATAATAAACATTTTTCTGCATACAAAACAACTGATTGACATCAAGTAAGTTTGCACAATGAATAATCGGTGAAGAGCTCAATCTTGTCAGAAAAGAGAGGCTTGAATACCCTGTTGAAGCAAGAGTCAGCTGCTACAAGAGAAATGACTTATCCAGAGGCATGTTAAACCAGAGATTTTGTCAAGAGAAATCATCTTGGTACTTCACAGTCTGAGTACCATTCAGGGATGAAGTTAGCAGAGCCTGCCAATCTGGGGCAATCAAGTCGAGAGTCGATCTCTCCAAGTTCATCCAAATCTGGGGCATCCCCTCAAAACTGTCAATCAGAGGCTATCACGTCGATAAATCTCTTCAAGCTTGATCAATCAGAGGCTATCACGCCGAGAGATCTATTTAGAAGTCATTCTACCTGGGGAAGTTACGTCGAGATAAGACAAATCTCTCCAAGAAAGCTGTAATCAAGAGCAGTTTATTTCGTAGCTCAATACATTGGGGCAGGCCACCTCATATCGTATTGTGGCACAAATCTTCTGGTCTTCTATTCAACCTAGATCTTCCCAGAGACCCTCCAGAAAGGGGCATTCCTCATTCGTACTTAGTTGCTCGAGTCAATTATGTTGCACAATACTACAATCAACTGAAAGCGTCATGACAGTCACCCTGACTCAGCCAACACATCTACTACAGATAATTTCAAATCTGATTCCCCAAGTGCATTCAGAAAATTCAGAATCGTCTTTTGACTCAGCACGCGTAAGTGCATCCTCAGTGGAGCTAATCAAGAACATCCCCAATGAATCTAAACCGGGGCATTCGCAGAGCTGAACCGGGGCATTCGCAAAGCTAAACCGGGGCATTCGAAGGGTTCAACCGGGGCACTCGCAGGTGTCCATTCCCATCTCTTATCCCCAAGTGATTCAAGGGATAATTCCCCACTGTGCATAAACTTGGAGCATGTATTCAGAGAGATCCACATGGTGTTCAGTATCCATTCTTCGGAATATTCACTTATATCACCCCCTCAACAGTTCAGGATGTTTGGAAGTCCGACAAGGTTATCTCTTCCCAACGGTATGATTCAAAATCCAGCATCGTACTTGAAGACTCGTTTCGTCGGCAACTTTATCTCCAGCAGAGTCATCAACAATCTTTGGTATCAGGGGCTCCCCAGGGCAAATTCTTATCAGTATCCCCAACAATCTTTGGTACTGCAGACTTCCAGCATCGATATATATTGACATCCCCAATGATGAACAATGGCTCCCAGCAAGCTTTCTCTTATCCCCATGAAGTTTATTTCTTCGCATTGCATATAGTTATCTGCATAACATTTCATCCTCAAAAGCGCGTAGCTGATCCATCAGATTGGATCTTTGCGTCAAAAGAAATTCAAACATGCATACAAAGCATAAGCCAGACCAGGTACCTTACATGAAAGACCTGAATTATTCAAGGACAACAATACATCCCTACAAAAGGATATCATGCCCAAAGTCCCCAGTCGGTGACCTTCACCTTTTCAATGCCAAACAAAATCAATACACTTTGTCATTCTAAACCCAGTTCTTGTCTGGTAGACAGTTCCCTAAACACCCTCCCGTGTCCATCCCTAAACACTCTTCTGTGTCCATTCCTAAGCACTCGTATGTGTCAAGTTTCCTAAACACCCACCCGGGTCAGTTATTCAAACACTCGTTTGTGTTTACCTTTTTGATACTCGTCCGTATCTTCTTCCAATACTCGTCCGTATTGATTCAAACACTCGTCCAAGTTTATACTTTTTGATACTCGTCCGTATCTTCTTTCAATACTCGTCCGTATTGAATCAAACACTCGTCCATGTTCATACTTTTTGATACTCGTCTGTATCTTCTTTCAATACTCGTCCGTATTGAATCAAACACTCGTCCGTGTTTTTGATACTCGTCCGTATCTTCTTTCAATACTCGTCCGTATTGAATCAAACACTCGTCCGTGTTTAACTTTTGATACTCGCCTGCATCTTCTTTCAATACTCGTCCGTATTGATTCAAACACTCGTCCATGTTTATCTTTTGATACTCGTCCGTATTTCCTTTCAATACTCGTCCGTATTGAATCAAACACTCGTCCGTGTTTAAACTTTCTTGATGCTCGTCCGTGTCGCTTATCTAAAACAATCATCATGTCATAACCCATGTTTCCTTCGTCGAACCTGAGATCGCCTCTTGGCTAGGTTCTTCCTTCAAATCTTCGTCGAACCTGAGATCGCCTCCTGGCTAGGTTCTTCCTTCAAATCATCGTCGAACCTGAGATCGCCTCTTGGCTAGGTTCTTCCTTCAAATCATCGTCGAACCTGAGATCGCCTCTTGGCTAGGTTCTTCCTTCAAATCACCGTCGAACCTGAGATCGCCTCTTGGCTAGGTTCTTCCTTCAAATCATCGTCGAACCTGAGATCACCTCTTGGCTAGGTTCTTCCTTCAAATCTTTGTCGAACCTGAGATCGCCTCTTGGCTAGGTTCTTCCTTCAAATCATCGTCGAACCTGAGATCACCTCTTGGCTAGGTTCTTCCTTCAAATCACCGTCGAACCTGAGATCGCCTCTTGGCTAGGTTCTTCCCTCAAACCTTTGTCGAACCTGAGATCGCCTCTTGGCTAGGTTCTTCATTCAAATGTTTGTCGAACCTGAGATCGCCTCTTGGCTAGGTTCTTCCCTCAAATCATAGTCGAACCTGAAATTGCCTCTTGGCTAGGTTCCTTCCATATACTTTGTCTTAGAACCTGAGATCGCCCTTTGGCTAGGTTCTCTGTCAAATCACTCTCATGTGTCACCCTCAGATCGTAGGTCGCCCGTAGACCTCGTCCGCTGTCTTTTCATACCCACCATTTGTCTTGTATTGGCATCAAGCCACGTTACAAGTCCAATCTTTGTCTCTTCATTGAAAAAAAAATTTTTTCCCCAATAAATATCACAAAAATATAAAGAAAACACTTACACTATCTCCCAGAACAAATTTTTGGCATTGGTATTTAATCATCTTCAACCTTGAACTTCCGAAAGGCACGCGCCAATCGTACTTTCAGGTTTAAGACGATTAAATAGGGGCAGCTGTAATACCCCAAATTTGTCCTACCCTTTTACTTCCTATCTGGCTTACGCATTTTTGCATTTTTTTCACATATGTAATTTCCATTAGGTCATCTAACACATCATGCATCATTAATCGATAAATTGGCATAAGATCATGGATTTCGAGGAATAAGGGTTGGTGTATGGCTTTAAGGCTCCCATCTTCGCACAAGCTTGTTTCGGTTGATTTCTCCATTAATAATCTGTTTGAAGCTAGGTTTTCGTTTCATGGACCTTATCATCATCAAGCTACGATGCTATTCTTTTCTTCTCAATGTCAAGTTGCAAGGTTTTATGAGACGAAGCTAAAAATCAGGGTTTATACATTTTCATATTTGAGCTTGTCAGCATTCTACCTGAGGTTCATTCCATATCAAGGTATTCGCATGTCTCATCTTTCATATTCATCTGCAAAGAATTCCTCAGGGCATAGTCATTATCATCTATTGAGAAGGGTTCCAAGACGTCGTTGTTCTAGTGCTCATATAGTCGGGACGTGGTACAAGATGTTGATTATGATCAAGGTGTCATTATTTCAAATGCTTATTGCTTGACACGCAAATTTGGTTTAGATCGGAAAAGTGAATTGAATTAGGGATTCACTGAAGCTGTAGTTTGATTAGAATTCATTCATTAATATTTGAAGTGGATTTGGAGAAAATCAAAGTTCTTAAATATTTGCGTGGCTTTTCTTGGAATTCAAACCACAAGTATGAAAAAGCATGCATCAAATTCATCCAACCATCAAAATATTGTCCAAATAGCCTCTCTTGGATTCATTCAAGATTCATGTCTCTTTTGGTTACCTTGCAAATATTTTGGATTCATACCATTTATTTGAATTCATACAAAGGCCATTTCATTATGTGGAAATAAAGTCAATATACATTCCAATGTGTATTCAAATACATACAAGTCAAAATTCCATTACAATTATACATAACATCTATACATTTTTACAAAAACATATCCTAATTTTCAATCGTTCTTCATGTTTCAAACTTCAAGCTTCCAAAACTTCGTGTTATGCGTCTTTGTTCCAACTTCATATCATCTTGGTGTTTTCCTTTTGCCTTTGCTTCCCAATAGCCCTGATGTGAACCAAACCTGCAAAAATATTGGATAAACTGTCATAAGCATGAACCGCATACACTACACTTCCAATTGTCAAAACCAATTCCGTAACCCAAAAAAATAGAGGCAGCCCTGCACATAAACAAAGTAACTTACAGCACCATAATCTATAACTAACTGCTAACCGATTTCTTCATTAACCAACCAAAACTAACATATCTATAACTAACTTTTCCCTCATTCCTAATTGTAACAAACTCCTAACTAATTTCTAACATTTTCCTAACTTAACCCAAAACCATATCTCGACTAATCCTAACAGAATTACAAAGTCCATAAATAACCTCTAACTGATTAAAATCCCACCCTTCAATTCTCTAACTGAAAATCTCCTTCCAACAGTTCAGATCCAATCATTTGTAACCAACTATTTCCTAATCTAACAGAATATATACTCAGATTTACCTGCAAGCATTTCATTCTAAAAAAAACTCTTAGAAGAATCACCAAGAAAAAGCTCTGCAATATTCTCTGTAATTCCCCATCAATCTTCAATCATTCTTCACTATCTTGAGAAGAATCACAAATTCAAGGGAAAAATCCATAACTGAATTCTTCTGCAACCTCTCTGAGCCTCACGCATCAACCTTCACCACTGCACCTCTACCATTATCTCATTCTCGATCCCTCTGAATCCTCTCTCCATCATCAACATCTTCCACCTGCTTCATCAACAATCATTTTCATCAATACGCACAAGAACAACAGCAATAATTTATCACTGGCGTATGATGTCAAAGATCTTCTTTTTGAGGAAGGCATAGAAGTACTTAGCAAGAAGCGAACAGAAAATTTAAAGAAGATTGAAGGCTTACTGGCTGTTAACTTGGAGAGGAAACGAATTAGGCCTGATCTTGTGTTGAGACTACAAATTGAAGAGAAAATGCTCCGTCTTTTAGATCTTCAGACACGTTTAAGGGATGAGATTGATCAACAGCAACAAGAGATAATGGCAATGCCAGATAGGCCATATCGTAAGTTTGTTAGGTTGTGTGAACGCCAGCGTGTGGAACTTGTTAGACAAGTGCAGGCATCTCAAAAAGCTGCTAGGGAGAAGCAACTCAAATCTATATTTCTCTGGCGTAAGAAACTTCTTGAGGCACACTGGGCAATTCGTGATGTCCGTACTGCCCGCAACAGGGGGGTGGCCAAATATCATGAGAGGATGTTGCGGGAATTCTCAAAACATAAAGGTGACGAACAATAGAAAAATTACGGTGATACGGCGGCCAACGGTCTTCGTTTTAACGGCGGTGAGAGTGTGAAGAGAGATCGCGCCATCGTTGATCAGAGAAGAAGAGAAGACAGCTTCGGAAGTAGAGACAGAGAGGTTGAGTGATATCACGGAGGAGAGCTGAGCACGACGGAAGAAGAAGACGGCGATGAGGACGAAGAGACCGCCGCCGCTTGCAAGAAAGGAAGAAGAGACTTTTTTTCTAACCCTAAAATTCCCTTTTATTTTTCATATCTTTTCCTTTTTTAGTTTTAATTGTTGCACAATTTTATTTTTGTTTTATTATTTTTTAATTCAAACTAATAATAATTATGACTAAATTAAGTTTGAATGAAAATGCTAAATGAGGCCATGGACTAAAACTGCATGGCATTAGGCCCGTTTTTTTTAGCCTGAAGCCATTATCTGCAATAAAAATTTCTATTGGATTTTATTTATGAACTGGGCCTAGCGCCCTTACTAAGCTACACCCCTGAATTCGGCTTTTCCCCTGATCCTTCTAATTTTTCTTTCTTTTTATCTTAGTTTCTTTTAGTTTAATTTTTTTTCCTCTCAATTGACAATAAAAATAATAGAATATTTTAGAATAGAATTTCTTTTTAGAATTTCGATTAGAATTTTTTTTATTTTATTTTTCATGTTCGATAATCATTTTTATTGCCATTTTCTAGTCAAGACTTTTTGTAGCGTCGACATAACTCTTGCAATGTGGAATGCTCGGGGTGAATTCTTCAATCACTTGCCCAAGGGAACTTTGGTAGAATTTTCTTATCACTTGTGTAGCGTCGAATGGGCAACGGACCTTCTCCGTTCGGTATCGTCACAAATTTATTTTATTCTCCATTTTCGTACTTTATCGCAATCCATATGCATGCTAACATTAAATAGAATTCCCTCAAAATTCTAACTTTAGGTCTAACAATACATAATAACATTAGGTTTAGAAGTAAGCTAGTCTCCTTCTGACTTTTCTTTCCCTTTTGCATTCGCACTTAAAACAAAAACTTCTTTTTCTTTCAAAATTCAAAATACTTTAAAACTATTGATGAGAATCATGCTTTTGCTTAGTACGAGAAATGATAAGCGGGTCTCTTCTCGATCTTATTGTTCTTCATCTCAAGCATAGGTGTGGTTCAATTCTCAAAAACTCCTTTCATGGCTAAGTAGAAAAATGGTTAATATCTCTCCCTTGAGGTTAATCAGTCATCATCTACAAAGAAAATACAAAAAACAAATTCAAACCATTTTGTGAGCTCGAGCACCATTTCTCTAAGAAACCCTTTTCAGATAAGGACACGATTAATTTACTTCTGTGCCAACGCATAAGTCTCCAAAGGTCGAGCTGCCGCAGAAGGCGGAATTAACTTCGTCCACAAAAACATCTACAACAAAATATAAACCAACTCAAATCTTTTGTGCGCTCGAGCACCTTTTCTTTTAAACCCTTTTCAGGTAAGGACATAATTAATTTACTTCTGTGCCAACGCATAAGTCTCCTAAGGTCGAGCTGCGGCAGAAGGCGGAATTAACTTCGTCCACCATAAAAAACACAAACAAACAAAACATGTGAGCCGAACTACGGTAGCTCTGATTCCTTAAAACGGATACGTAGGCATTGGGGTAGGGCCCAAGCGAGCACAATTTTATTTTCCCTACATTCTTTTCTCCTTTCTTTTGCATGCATTCTTCCCTTAGCAGTAATAAACAGTAAGCATAGATTAAACACACCCATAAGATAGACAACAAGAGTGGATACCGTAGAGTACTACGGGCGTGTGGGGTGCTAATACCTTCCCCTCGCGTAACAGACTCCCTTACCCGATCTCTCGGTCGCAAGACCGTGACTTCTCCCTCATCAGGTTTTCTCGATGTTTACCTTTCCCTACATGTGGGATAAAAGACGTTCGATGGCGACTTCATTGTTTGATGATTTTCAGCCGGTTGTTTCAGCTGGCGACTTCACTGGGGAATTAGGTCGACCAAATGCTGGTCCATCCCGGAGTCGCTCCTAGCTCTTGTTTTCTTACCTTAGGGTGTTTATTTTTATGCTTTCAGTTTACTCATTTGTACATGTTTATCTGAGCATAAGTTTGCATTGCATTTTATGGCTTTCCATATTTGTTATATATTATGCTGGACTCTGTTCTCTATGTTGGGTGGGGATGTCACTATTGAGGTAAAAGGCCCAGTACCCAGGCCATAGTGCACTAGGACACTAGTAATAGAGTGGGGGTATGACGGCTATAGGACGTGGTCCGATTAGTGCAGTCATGTCATATACCACGCTCGGATGAGGTTCAACTGAATAACTATCGGCACCCACGTCTGTGGGCAAGCCCATGGCACTTTCAGGTGAACCCGTGATTTTCGAGTTACCATTATCTTACCCTGACCTAGTTTTCACCCGTGAGTGGGGAGGGAATTTCTATCACAGGTACAGATGGTGACTATGTGCAGATGGTTACTCGTGCTCAGATGGTGACTATGCTCAGGCAGTGACTATTGGGTCTAATGGTTATGATCCAGATTTCTGTTCTGGCTTTATGCAGATGTTATATCCTGTTGGTGACCGTATGGTTCTTAGATTTATTTTCTGAGTTCCTGACTTGTTTACCTGGAGGTTCATTCAAGCCTTCAATCTTAGTATTCCCAGCATATTCAGAAAATGCTCAACAGTATCCAATGTTCCAGAAGCCTCGACCCCGTACAATGGGAGATCCACGTGGCACTTGGTTCTTATATATGCAGAAGTTATGTCGGACCTCTAATCTGATGATACTCACATGATCCAGAGCAGTGCAGCGACCTTATGACGGAACCTCGATCCTCTTTGATCTCATGCCTTTGCATGCATAACATAGCTAACTACATGCTTAACATACATGTTTTGTTATCTCCAAGGAATCATATTTGCAAGTCTTGTGCCTAAACTCTTCCATCCCTTACTTGCTCAAAATCAAAATCAAAACACGAAAATTCATTGGAAATGACAGAACATGACATGGCATCCATTCATGCACCCCATGCATATTCATGCATTCATGACAGGTACCCGGAGATTGGGGATTCTTATTCAGACCTGGGGTTCTCTTCAAAGGCTCAACTTGGTTTCTCACCGCACGTGTTCAGGGACTAGCTATGGAATAACTCTGAGTGGTACATGCAAGCTTTGGCTCGTAGTCAGAAACTTCTTCAAGCAGGAAGATAATGGATTAAATACTCAGATAAGCTAGGTCATGGAAACTCTGATGATGATGTCTATTATTTCTTTAAGACATGATATGCTTGGTGATGCATATTATACTGGGGCACCTAGCCAATCGGTTGAAGAAGGTATGTCATCCAAAGACAATGTCCAAGATAGGCTCAATCCAGAGACTACTGTGTTCACATCAGATCTGAAAGAGAATTCTCTCGCACACTCGAGCATCAAGACTACAGAAAGTCGTCGGAATCAGCAAGTCCATACGGAGTCAAGTCTCCTCAACAGTGGCAATCATTGGTTTCTTTACTGCATTTTCATTTGCATTCTTTCTTTTTTGTTTAAACATTGCTTGTATATAGAAACTGGTCTATTTTTGAACGAAAATCTTAATGCAATAAGTATGCTTGTCTTGAAGTGTTCCTTTCATTTTTACTCATCCATTTGTTATCACTCTTTAAATGTTTTGCTTGCATATTGATGCCAGATTTCCTAGTCTTATGCTTAGGTAAAGATTCAAAGGACGATGATGATAATCTGAAAACGCAAAATCTCTGGTTGGTATGCTTTTGAGTAGGACCCTGCTGACGATGTACAGGCCTTGTTTCAATCCCCAAACACCGGAGATATAAGGGAGATAGACCCTCGTCAACCCCTCTGAGCCTTCGAAGTAGGAGTTTCCTTTCTGTTCAGAAAAAACCCTCATTTCAACCCTGGGGCGGGTAGTGTTCAGCTAATCTGATCAAGCATTCATAACTCATCAAGAGTGTGCATCCAAGGATACAACAATGGTTATCCATCAAAAGGTTGAAAAAAGTCAAAACCACAATGGTTAACCCTCATCTAACAACAATGTACGTCTATTGACTATACCCCAATGGGTATCTCTCACACATCATGAGGTCGACAGATGACAATACGATAATGGCTATCCATCACCTACTAAAGACTCAGGCAGTCACGATCACTTCCAACAAATCAAGAGCAACGCAAAGATCAACAACTTGTTCAAAATGGAAAATATGAATAAGAAAGAAACAAAAATCCCCGCTAAGTCAAAGCTTGAAAACAAGTCGCTTAGGCAAAAATTGGGGCATCCCGCTGGACTTCCAAATCAAAATTCAAAAGAATTTGTCCAGGAAAAAATTAGGGAAAGCAAGAAGAAATTGAAAAGCCTAAAAGGCGAGAAAAGGATTACCAACGAAAATCCTCATCAAAGAACAAAGTCGTCTGATCAGACACCAAAATCAGAAGTTAGTAACTGTCGTGTCCAAGAAACCTCAGTGGTTCCTCAATCATCACAAACTCTTCTCGAGAGACGAATACTTGTATCGGGTCAACTGAACGTAGGAATGGAGAACATCATGGAGAATGGGTGGGCACCAAATAATTTTGAGCCTTAAATCCTTTTTTCTAAAAAAACCGTGAACCAGGCCACGTTACAACCCATAAAAGTCCTAACTGAAGCATGGGTCAATTCGAAAGCGTGCTACAACGAGATAGCGTTTAACTGACTCCTAAGAGGTACGTCCAATATCTGTGTTGGCATCATATGCTTGCATTATCTTTCATAAAAAGGAATTTGCAAATGTTTCTCTCTAGCTAGTGACTCGTTCACAACAGAGTTGTGACATTATTTCATTCAAAGTTTTTTCAAACTTCAAGACTTACATATGTGTTGTATTAGAATTATCATTCTCATAATAAACATTTTTCTGCATACAAAACAACTGATCGACATCAAGTAAGTTTTCACAATGAATAATCGGTG